AATGACGTCAGCCAGTGCCTTCAGTACCCTCGGATGGAGCTCATCCGGGCCTGCTGACTTAAATGCATCCAGTTCCTCCAAGTGACTCTGCACCATCTCAGGGTCTACGCTTGGTAGTCTGGTGTCCTGCTGCTGCCTCTCTACAATCCCAGTGAGAGCCTTGTCCTGCCCCTCACTTAGGAACACTGAGGCAAAGAACTCGTTGAGGAGTTTAGTCTTGTCCCCCCTGTCTGTCACCAATTGCTTCTGCCCATTTAGTAGGGGTCCTATTCCACCCTGGGCCTTCCTTTTACTCCCTATATATCTAAAAAACAATTTCTTGTTATCCTTAACTTGGGATGCCATCCTCAGCTCCATGGTAGCTTTGGCCTATCTAACTGCCTCCCTACAAGCACGAGCAGAGGAGGTGTACTCCTCTTTGGTAATCTCTCCCTGTTTACACTTTTTATATGCTCCCCTTTTAGCCCGTAGGCTGCTCTGGATTTCTCTGGTCAGCCAGGGAAGCTTTCTGGCCCCTCTCCCTCTTTTTCCTCGCATCGGGATCGTCTCCCTCTGTGCCCAAAGGATCATGTTGTGACACCCCACTGCACCTCCTTGGATTCTGGTTTGGTGGAGTAGCTGGTGTTCCTCAAGGTGAACCTACCACTGCTTGGGTTTCCTAAGCTCCACATGCAGATAGAGTGCCATCCTCCTCACTCCTTACCTATTTCCTTTCTTTAGTTGCTTTCACAACCATTTAATGCCCCACTCTCAGAGCTGAAGGTGGCAGTTTAGTTTTTCACCAGCCAGCAGGGGAAGAACATCTTCCTACTGAGCTCCCATGCCAGGACAAACTTGGAGGTATGGGCTGGGGCTATGGGGAAGGAGGAGACCCCTGGTCCTGGGCATGACCTAAAACTTCACCCTTCCAAGGCAGGGAAGCCTGGTGGGACTGCCAGTGGTGCAGCAGCCCCAGGGAAATGCCAGGACCATGAACCTCCCTGCTGAAAGGTGAGTAGGAGGTACCTGATAACCTCCCGCCACCACACACACACACACACACACACACTGCTGGCTGGGGAAAGCCCAGACCTGTAAGATCTTTGAAAGGCCTGAGGTTTACTGGTTGCAGTGGAGTTGTGAGGGTGAGAACAGGCAGGCAGCTCAGATCTGAACTGAGGTACTGGTCTTCGCTGGGTCCAGGACCCAAAGTGGGGTCAAAGGGCCAGGGGCCCACTACGAGGAATGCCCAGAGGAAGAGGTTCAGGATTCTGACTGGCCTGAAGGTGGGGACAGGGCCTAATGGGGAGCCAAAGGTTCCAGAGAGGGGACCACAGCTGGAGGGGGTGAAAGATGCAATCTGCGAGGCATAGGCTGCAGTGTAGGAAAGGTACAGAGCTGTGGAATGGATGTCATACCTAGACATCAGGTGCCTAAATGGGCAGCCTCTTGCCTGGGTAACATCTGAATCAGTTTCCATCAAGGCGTGGCAGAAGAAAGAGGAGTGGGCAGTTGGCCCAGAAGCAGGTGGGAGGGCTGAGATCTAATCAGCACTGGGAAGGCCCCTTGTTACAGGCTACCATCCCTCCTGCATTCATCCCACTCTGCCTTAACACACACAAGGCAGACAAAGTTCAGTCAATCTGATATAATTTATTAGACCAATTGAATAGTTGGAGAAATATATCTTGGCAAGCTTTCGGGTTTAAAAACCCTTCATCAGGCTGAGGCAGTATCTGCAGTTGTTGTGTGCGCTCTTCCTGGATGTAATGAATATTAAAGAAGCCAGAGGCTGATATACAGGAAAGAAAGCCAGTCAGTGAAAATGTAAATTGAGGCATCAGGGGGTGAGAGACAGGCTGGGAGGGGGGGGGGAGGGGGATGTAGCAGGTAAAAGTGGAGAGGTACCTGGGGAGTCAGAAGTCAGGCAGGTTACAGTGTCATAAATCCAATGTTTATATTAAGTCCATGAGTTTTTGTATCAAGGAGGTTGGTGAAGTAAAGTTCATAGGCTCATCTGTGAAAAGTGTTTTATAAATTCCCTTTGAGGATCAGGACTGAGAAATTGGAAAGAGAATGGTTTTCTTGTGAAAAATGTGCCCTCACTGGTAATTCGGTGTTCTTGTCTTCAAAAGATGTCTGGTGTGCATTTATTCTGGTGCACAGTTGTTGTTTGGTCTCTCCTAAGCATTTTCCATCAGGGCATTTTGGTTCACTGGATGAGCTATATAACGTTTCTGGAGGTGCACCTGTAAGATCCCATATTGGTGATGGTTCTGTTGTGGGATGTAGTAATTGTAGGGGTACTGGAGATATGTTGGCAGGTTTTGCATTCTTGTCATGACATGGTCTGGATCCATTCAGTGTGTTTTAGGCTATAGGAAGTTTGCTTCTGGTGATGAGGTTAGCGAGGTTCAGTACTTGTTTGAATTTACAAAAAACTTTTCACAGACAAGCCTATGAGCTTCACTTCATCAACCTCCTCAATACAAAAACTCATGGACTCAATCAATATAGACATTGGATTTATTTTGGTGAGTGAGCCATCCTGTGACTGTTAACTCTAAGTTCAAATGGGAATTTTTCAAGGGAATCAAGGGAATCCTATATCTACATATCTTGTGCTATCCTGAAAAAGCACATTGAAACCAAGCATTTGGAAATATACAGAACTGTCTCTGAAAGTACACAGAGTATGGTGTGTGAAGAGTTTCAGGCAATCGGAACAATATATTGAGTCAGAACCAGGTGTAGTCACTTTTCATTTCCCTAAGAATTTGAAGTCAGGACATTTCAGTTCCTGAGACCATTGTAATAAGAACCTGAGAGTATGATCCAGAGACAGGTAAAAAGCAAACTGCTTTAGCTTTATAAGCTCTTTAAGGTAAGTCCCAGGGATGGTGTAATTAGGGAGACAACTGAAATGCAGCACCTTGGGCAAGCTGATTGTATTTTTTTTGAGAGGGCTATGCCAACCGAGGTCACAAGGCCTTTCTTTTTGGCCCTGCAGGGAAGAATGAGTATATTTGTTAGCTCTGTCACCTCCACTCTCTGAGATGGTAGAGTTGTAACAGGACTGACAAGGAGATTGCCTGCCCCAAAGGTAGCATGCGATGTATGTTCCATCCACTCTTGCTGACTTGAAATGCACAGCACTGTCAGTAGCTATAAAAGGAAGCTATATATGCAACCCTGATATGTAGAAGACTTTTACTGTAAATCAGCAAGCTGCCTTAGCAACATGCCGCAAAACAAACTGTTAAACATGTAAATATCTAAATAATAACAGTCTGCATAAAATTTTGATTCATATTATTATAGTGTTTGGGTCATGCTAGGTGCTTTATAAACTCAGAAGGAAAGAATAGTCTTAGTCACCAAGAGCATACAGCCTAAGAGAAAAAGAAACAATAATAGATGATACAACACTGAAAGACAGAAGAGCATAAGGGTGCAGAGAAGCAATCATGGTCAGCATTATGAGCAGTTGTAGCAACCTAACTGTTAAGCTTTTTACATAGAGGACACAGAAAAGTGGAGTTTTCAGGTAAGTTTGAAAGGCAGATAATGAAGTAAGTTTGTTGGATTACCATTGACCATCAACACTTCCCACACGCAAGCACTTAGTCCATTATACAAGCAAAGAAAATATTACTGGGAGGAGGGTAGGAAAGGGCACTGAGTAAATTTGGGAAGCAGTGGGTGTGTCTATGCAAAATGCTAACTGTGCAGTAGCCTAATAATACTGCACAGTAGCACATCACAGCACAAACAATACTAGTATGCTACTGTGCAGTATTATTAGGCTACTGCACAGTTGTGTCACTAAGAAGATGTGCACCAGCACTACTGCACAGTAACACCGGTTCCTGCACATTGATTCAGTAGTTGATTATACAAGTACTAAACTTAATATGCTGTAACTACTGTGCATTAATGAACATGGAGATATGCTCAGTAATGATCAACTGCATGCACACACCACCCAGCTGCAGTGGTTTCCTGACAGTATTCTTAAACACAGTCCTCTACTTGCTGGTATAATAATCTGGTGAGGTATCATTGTCTTAGAATAGATAGTCCTCCAGTCCCTGACCAGCATTCACTGAGTATTGTCTACGGTTTACAAAGACCTTAGTTTGAGTAGGTTCATCTCTTGCCCTCAAGGAAAATTCTACTGTGTCTACTCCAGGGGTCTACCCCACCATTCCAACTGTAGTGATTACACATAGTTTTATCAGTTGGTAGGAAGGGAAACCATTGCCCATGTTCTTCAGCTATGCTACTAACCAGTCATGCTTCAGCAAAACCCATTTCAGTACAATTCTGTGTCTCAGAACCTCAACCTTACCTTCTGAGATGAGTCTTGTTTGAAAAAGTAGTCTCTGCACTACCATCCTGTAGTCTTCAAAGAGGAACTATGGCACATAGGATCCCAAATCAGTTCTTTATCACTGAAAAGCTTCCTTATCACCGCCAGAATCAACAGTCACTTTGCCGTGAGGTTTTTCTAGACACCAGCTAAAAACCATATCAGCATTTTGTTAATTCCCACTTTAATACTTAATTGAATTCTTGAATTCTTAGGCCTCAAACATTCACATAACAGAATTGTAAACAAGACTTGGCTTGTTTCTATTTGTTCACCTCTTGACACTGACAGTGAACTCTCACTCCAAAGGATTTTCTGTCTAACTGAAGGGATTAGGCAACTTTGGCCTGCTTTTTTCTCTTTGTTCATCAACAGGTGTCAGTAGTGAGTATCAACAGGTGCACTCCCCTCCCCAAGCATGACACAGGAAGAGGAGGAAGGTAAGCAGCTTGCTGCCACCCCCAAGAGGAGGTGCAAGGTGGTGGGGGTGGAGGGCCCATCTGCCATCTAAAGCCCCTAGCCCATGAGGTCTTCCGCCTCCCAAGGGCTTGTATCTGAGATGTAGCAGAGGGGATCCCCAGGCTTGTCTGGCCCTCCGACTACTACCCCATGCTTTTCATTTATGTGGGAACTAATGACATGGCCAGGAGTACTCCAGACCAGGTCATGAGTGATTACAGGGCTTTGGGAGCTAGGCTCAAGGGGTTGGAGGACCAGGTAATCTTTTCTTTTATGCTCCCTGTTTCAGGCTATGGTCCCAGAAGGGAAGGATGCATTGAAGAAGTAAACCAGCGACTCTAACACTGGTGCCACTGAGAAGGCTTCAGATTTCTTGACCACAGTGCACACTTCAGGGAGAGAGGACTCCTGGAAAGGGACGGCATCCACCTCATGAGGAAAGCTAAGTCCCTGTTCATGGCCAGGATGGCTGATCTTCTGGACAGGGCTTTAAACTAAGATTCCTGGGGGACAGAGATACACAAATTCAAACATGTCAAGGGATCAATATACAAGTAAGCCCTGTAGATAGGGACACAGGGAGAGCTACTTTTGTGGGAGCTGAGGAAATAGTTCTCCACCAGTAGGACAGGAAGATGAGGACCTCAGTAGGAGGACTCACGTGCCAATATACTAACATCAGGAGCATAGGGAACAAGCAGGAGAAGCTAGCCCTCCTACTCTTCAGTGGGCATTGTGATCTAGTAGGGATTACAGAGACCTGGTGGGACTCCTCACATGACTGGAGCATAGCTATAGAGGGCTACACCCTGCATAGAAGAGACTGGGCGAAGAAGAAAGGTAGAGGCATTGCTCTCTATGTGAAAGAGCAGTACACCTCCTTGGAGGCTGACATCAACTCCAAAAATGGAAAGCTTGAAACCCTCTGGGTCAAGATGTTGGGGGGGGGGGGAGGGAGTGGCAAGAGAGACCTAACTGTAGGTGTATACTACAGACCACCAAACCAGGGGGAGGAACTTGATCTGGAGTTCACCCGAGAATTGACTGAGGCCACATGTGCGTGTGACCTGGCCATCATAGGTGATTTTAATTATCCAGACATCTCCTGGGAGGAACAGTGAGCCAAGTTGGATCAGTTGTGATCCTTCCTGACCAGTGTCGAGGAGCTCTTCCTGACTCAGGAGGTGCCTGGGCCAACCAGAGGTGACGGCTTGCTAGAGTTGGTCCTGGCCAAAGGAGATGACCTAGTGATCAACTTAAATATAGAGGGAAGTCTGGGCAACAGCGACCATGAAACCATCATGTTCACTGTCCGATGTACGGCAGACAAATTGGAAAGCAGGATTCAAGTCTTGGACTTCAAAAATGCAAATTTCAACAAGCTTAGGTCACTAGTAGGGGAAGTGCTATGAGACTGAGGGTGAAAGATGTGCACAAAGAGTGGTTGTTCCTTAAGGACACGATCCTTGAGGCACAAAGGAAGTCCATTCCCATGCAGAGAAAAGGTAACAGAAAGACTGGGAGCCTCTCTTTGCTAAACAGGAAAATCATGGTCCTCTTAAGAAAGAAGAAAAAGGCTTGTAAACATTGGAAGCTCAGGGCAGGTGCCAAGGAGGACTATTCCACAACAGCCCACATTTGCAGGGAACAGATAAGACAGGCTAAAGTGGTTACTGAACTTAGATTAGCAACGGGAATCAAGGACAACAAGAAGTCCTTCTTTAGGTACATAGGGAACAGGAGGAAAACAAATGGGAGTGTGTGGCCATTGCTCAGCAACTCAGGAGAGCTGGTTACTGGTACCCAGGAGAAAGCTGAACTCCTGAATGACTACTTCGCCTCCGTCTTTCACCGGACCAAGGGGAAAACTATGTCAGGTAGAGTAGAGGATGAGCACGGTAGGAATAATCACCTTCCTACTTTTGCCATAGAATTGGTGTATGACCAATTAAAAAAATTAGACGTATACCAGTCAGTGGGACCAGACGATCTTTGTCCAATAGTGCTGAGGGAGCTGGCTGAAGTCATTGAGGAACCCCTGGCGAAACTCTTCCACAACTCGTGGCACTCTGGAGAAGTCTCTGAGGGACTTCAGGTTTTAGGACTGAAAAATAAAATCCAATCTTGAAATCATACAAATAACAGAAAAGTAGGGGCAGAAGGGACCTAAGGATTCCCTAGGATTTTTCCCTAGAAAAGCTCATCAAGGAGTCTATCTGTGATAAGCTTGCAGAAGGTAACATCTGAATGACAGCCAGCATGGCTTCATCGCAGGCAGGTCTTGCCTTACCAAGCTCATCTCCTTCTATGACCAGGTAACTCGCCACCTGGACATGTGAGAGCAGGTTGACATTGTATACTGTGACTTCCAAAAAGCCTTTGATCTAGTATCCCACAATATCCTCATGAGAAAATTGGAGGATTGTGGGCTTAACTCCGAGACAGTCAGGTGGGTGAGAAACTGGATGCAGGATAGAACCAAAAGAGTCACAGTGAATGGATCTGTCTCATCCTGGCGAGAAGTGGGCAGCGGTCCTGCAGGGGTCGGTGCTTGGTCCAGTACTTTTCAACATCTTTATTAATGATTTGGATGTGTTGGTGAAGAGCTCACTGGCCAAGCTCACTGATGACACCAAGTTATGGGGAAGTGTGGTCATGCTTGAAGATAGCCTGTCTAGGTCTACCTGTAACTGTAGCCTAACAAGTTGGGTGGATCAGAATCTGATGAAGTTCAATGTCGAGAAACGTAAAGTGCTCCACCTCAGGACGAGCAGCCCCTAACACACCTTCAGGCATGGCACCACCAAACTGACTAGCACCATGAATGAAAGGAACCTGGGGGTAATATTAGACCACAGTATGAATATGATCCGCCAGTGCGATGCTGTAGCCAGTAGGGCAAATAATACTCTGGCATGCATCAATCGATGCATCTCCAGCCAAGCCAAAGAGGTGTTTCTTTTGCTCTACTCAGCACTAGTGAGACTCTAGCTGAAGTACTGAATCCAGTTCTGGGCACCACACTTTAACAAGGATGTGGACAAGCTTGAGAGAGTCCAAAGAAGAGCCACGTATATGATCAGAGTCTTAAAAGCAAGCCGTAGAGGAAAGGACTCTTCAGCCTGAGGAAAAGAAGGCTGAGAGGGAACCTGGTAGCAGCTTACCGCTACATCAAGGGCTCTGTGAGCAACTGTTCACCAGGGCACCCAAGGGGAAAACCAGGAATAATGGCCACAAACTCCTGGAAGATTGATTCAGGCTTAACATTAGGAAAAACTTCTTCACAGTGAGGGTGTCCAGACTATGGAATAAGCTCCCTCCAGAGGTGTTGCAATCACCTACCCTGGAAATCTTCAAGAGGAGAGTAGACAGTCACCTTGCTGGGACAACCTGACCCCCAGTTATCATGGCTGTCCTCTGGACTCTCCTCTGCTTGGTGCAGGGAGCTGGACCTGGTGATCTTCCGAGGTTCCTTCTGGCCTTACAATCTATGAATCTATGACTTCTATTCTCTAACATTTCAAAATGTATTAAGCAGGTGATGGAGGCTGGCATCATGGGCTCAGTAAAAGCAGAAATCAGCATCTCAGCACTGAATATGACAGGATACGAAGGGTGATGTCATGCTGGGTCACAGGTAGCTAGATCAGGGGTCACCGAGGGAACAGCATGCTAAGATGGGTAAGGAGGAATGAACAGAATCTAGGCACAGGCCTGGTCATAAAGCCAGAGGTCAGTCTGGGAAGCCAAGTCAAGAAGCTGGAGGGTTGGGTAGAGTCAAAAGGTCAGGCAGTTGGTTATCCAGGAGATCAAACCAGGAGTTGGGTTAGGAAGCCAAAGGATCAAGCAACATGGAGTCCAAGGGCAAGCTGGGTCAGTAGCCAGGGGGTCAGTCAGAGAGTCAGTAGAGGCATAAGTCAAAGTCATAGCAGTCTGGGTACTGGGTCTGCCCAGACACTTCCTCTTCCAGGTCAAAGGTTTATATGGGAAGGAGTGATGGATCAGATGACCCTGACTGGCTACTCATTTCTGGTTGGCTTGCTTGGCTGGCTTGCTTGACTGACTGTGTCTAGGATGGCTAAAAAGTCCAGGAAGATGAGAATGGAGTCTTGGTTCTGGCTTTGACTTGGTAAGAGGTAATTAGAAACCTGAGTGAGAATGGTTTCAATCGGGTAATGCATAGGATAGAAACCAAAGTGGAGAGGCTCAAACAAGAGATGGAACAGGAGGAGAGCAGCTCCAGAGAGGAATTGACCTGTTGTCTGACCCAGTGCAGCATTTCTATGTTATTATAAAGCAATTGGGGTCACAGATGAGATTTTATTTAAGATGGGAGAGATTAAAGCTTGCTTGTAAAAATTATGGAACTTTTGGAAAAATGTATGGTTTTTCCCTAATTTTACAATAAAATTTACTGAGATTTTCCCTTTGTTTCAGTGGGAAATATGTGGGTTTTTCTCCTTAAAACACACTGTGATGACAGCTTGTATTGTAATCTAATGAGGAAGCCTGTGCCAGGGCCACAGGGATAAGTGGAAATATCTGATATAATACTAATGCACAGTTCACTCAATGGAACTACTTGCATTAGTGAATATTACTCAGTCTGAGTAAAAAGCATAGAACCAAGTTAGTTAGGCTTATTAAAATGATTAAGATACTGTCCTACTTCACCCATCCCCCCAGGGAGCCATGCAACCAGAGCCTCAAGAACAGAACACGCAAACAAGTGTGCTCTAGGCCCAGTGTGCAAGTTAGTGTGGGAGTTTGCACAGGAGGGCAAGCAGGAGGGGCACAAGGCTCCAGTCGGTGAGCCTGAAGGGAATGGTCAGCACAGCAGTAGCCCAGACTACTACCTCTGCAATGGTGGGTGGGACGCATTGCACCCTGAAGTTCCCCCCTGTGGCAGGATCCCTCCCCTCTGGTACTTCCAAGACCTCCACCCAGATGGAACCCATGGTCCTGGCCTCCATTCAGATGGAGCCCCAGGCTCTTGGCTGTGGGGCTCCCTGGCACAACTCCAGGCTCATGGGATCAGGAGCATTGCCCCCTCCCCTTGTGAGCTTTGCTTTGTATTGAAATCTCTGGAAGGTGAGATAGTGGAGCTTCAGACTGCAGTACAGAGGCTGTGTGCCATCAGGGATGGTGAACAAGAGATTGACTCCTACTGCCAGGCCCTTCACCCAAAGAAAGACGAGGGAAGAGCTAAGTAGCCTGCCAGGATAAGGGAGGCCAAGAGGCACTCCCATACTATCCAGCCAGGGAATTGAACAAAGGTTGTCTCTGGCTCCAAGGCTCACTGCACCAGGGTCACCACCCCCTGGATCTCTGAAACAGGTATGAACCCCTCACAGCAACAGTACAGCCTGCAGAGTAGGGCTGTGCCAAACTTCAGGTGGTGATTTAATTCAGAGGAGATTCAGCCCAATTTGGTGG